ACCATACCCCAAGCGAAAACCTGATAAGACGACTACTCGTTAACCCCTTGTCCGACGGAAATGAGATGTCAAATCAAGCATCGACAGTGTCGGATACGGTGAAATTTTCGAAAGTGTTGGAATTATCGTAAATTTTATATTTCGAAGATTAAATAATACTCCTTTCAATTGAATTGAATTGTAAGACAAGGGGTTAAGTTATAAGTTTTTGTTGTTTTGTAAGTTTGCATAATTAGATAAAAAACAATTTGAAAACAAAAGTAGTTAAAAATATATAAAGCGAATTAAAATATACCTGATGAAATACACCACTACGATTATCAATCCAGATATATTTCGATAATCTATTTAACGGTTTAACGGTTAAAAGAAAGAACCGCGAAATTTTCAAACGATCGATCGATATTATCCTGTTTCCTGTTCGATCGTTCTCCGATCCACCTTCCCCAAATTGCTCGTAGATCGATGGCTAACGAGCTTTCTTACGCGAAAGTTTGTCGCGGGTGTTAATTAAATCGTGGAGCTGTTTGCAGAGCACACAGCACGGCGGCCTATCTTGGCAAAACAGTGGCACGAGGGAAAATTGAACGTTGCTGGCCGGCCTCCGTGATATCGATATCGCTTGTCGGCCACGGATCGATCGTCCAATTTGGACGTGCGTCCACGCGTGCACCAACGCAGACCGCAAAACGCATATAGGTCAAACGCAAACGCGAATCGGTCGGCGAGATGGCTGAATGAAATCTGTAACTGTGCCACACCTAAGGATTCCTTCGTTGAAAATATCACGATCGATCGGTCGAATAATATTTTTCTTCTTTCCGTTTCCGTGTGGTTGCAAGTTTGTTGAACCAATACCATGCCATATCGAGAGCCAGTATCGAGAGTAATATTTAAAGTATCCTTAATGGTAAAAAATACGGTTATTTCTATTAATTAGAAATGACCAAAGAAACGAAAAACGATGACGAAACGTTAAAATCATATTTTTGTTTCTTAAATATGACCTACCTTTTTTTTTTTTTTTTTCCTCTTTTGAAATACCCCATTTATTAATTTCTATCTTTAATCTAAAAAATAATTATCAATGTCTATAAATATTTGTTACAAATGGTACAAACTATCGTAATCACTTATTAAAGGATTATAATTATCGCAAAACTACGATTGCTTCCAAATTTTTAACAATATACCTCGTCTCGATATTAAATTTCTTCTGCTCAATTACACGCGTTCAGAAATAGTTCATTAAATATAATATTGCAATGGATACATTATATATGCATTCGAACAACGATAAATCACATTTTCTCATTTAACATCCACTCCAATAATTCTAAAATTTTACACATACATTGTGTACCTCGAAAAGATGCACAATTTTTTCACCATTCTCCGTGAATTTTTTCTTCGTTTCCGTGCAATCTGTTCGAACAAATGTTATCACGCAAATGATCTTACATCGTGGAAGGAATCGTCGAAGGAATTTGAAACACCCAGTGTATATCCCGGTAACAACCCTCTTACGATTATGTTTGACGCGACCTCAGCGACTAGGCCAGCTTAACCCCACTTACCCCTGCTCACCGAGCAAGTCGCCGAGTGGACAGAGGATTTAAAGGTATATTTCACCCTATGAACATCGGCTGCTGGCACCTTGTACGCTTAACCGTGCGAACTGTCAAAACACTCGCTCGTCCAATAATTGGATTCAAAAGGGTTAGACGACGAGCACGCCTGTCCGCGGTTTCCTTTCATCCCCTAACGATTCTTACTTATCGTATCATTTTTCATAAATACGTTTACCAACGTAACATATCGCCACGGAGACGAAGAATATAAGTCTAGAATGGAGACGTGTATCGAACGTGAGAGATATTTGGACGAGATGGGATGATTTTTCGAAAAAAATGAGAAGAAGAATTCGTTTGCAAAATATTTTCACAGATGTTTCTTTAAAAGGAAGTTTGAACAACGACGATACCGTTCAAGAAAAAAGGGGGTAAGTTTAAAAATCGATGGATCGATGTTCTCGAGGAGGTTCTAAGATCAATTGTTCAACAAATTGAATCGATCTTCTCTTTTGAAACGATTTTCAAACTCTGGATAATGGATCGAGCGATTTTATTTTCAGAGAAGGGCGAATTCAAGAAATTTATCTAAAAGAAGAGAAAACGTTAAGATCGTTGAGTAATTATTTCCAAGAGGCGATCGAAGATTAATTACAATGTTGGCCGAGGTTGAACGGCCGCATAAATCGCTCGATCCAGATTCTCCGCTCGAGAGAAAGCCGTTATACCATATCAAAATAGATCGGGGGTGTTTTCTACATTGGTTTCGCGCGAGCGCAACGTTAGCGCGCTATTTTATAATTATTCTCAAAGAGGAAGCGCGCGCCGGCGTGGAACGGAAAATAGAGCAGATAAAAGGGAACAAAGCGAGTGGTTACAAGAGGACAGACAACAAGCGGCCGAAACCCATCTCGACATCTCTGGTTAAAAATACAATTTTGAATCGACAACGGAATTAGATGAGTGGTAGGATATTTTCGGTTATCATTCGGCTGCATTCGATGATAAGCAATAATGGAAAGACTGAAACTGAACGAAAATAAGATTTCTTAGAATAGGATAACGGATCGTTTATATGATAAATACGTTATTATTATCATCTACGAGATTATTTCTTTTTAATTTGCTTTTCATTCATCCCCCTCGATGAGAAGGGTCTCTCGATCTTTCTTCGCCATCCGAGACCCACTTTCTTCCGTTTTTTTTTTTTTTTTTTTTGATTCATCTTCGGACGAGGCATTTCGATGAAAGGTGATCGCGATTAATTAGAGAGCGTAGAACGAATAATCGGATCCTGGCTCTGGAGTCGATCAAATGGGATCCGCTTGGAAAACCCTCTTCGTTTATACTTGCACCTCCGGCGAATCTCATTAGACTGAAGTCAAAAGAGGGTATCGATGTACGTACAATCCATACACTCGCGCGTGTGCCACAACATTACGTACGGATATTTATATCCAATAACACGCACGCACGTATGTATACCTTATATCACGCGACGGTTAATATCATGATGAAATACAACAAAGTAACGTGAATTTTATTTGTTTCGTAACGTATCCTGGAAACGAATAATAAATAGATTGTAATAAATAAATTAAAAAAAAAAAAAAAGAAAAGCTTTTATTTTCCTTTAAAAAAATCCTATTCCTTGATATTAAAAAATTAGGATAAAAAATACGATTACTATTATCAATATATTATTATCCATCCATCTATCCATTTCAAAATTGTCTATTTTCTCCGGGCTTACCTCTCAACATGCGTATCGGATATCGGATATCCACTCATAAATTCTAAGCCCAAGCCCAAGAAGAAAAAATTCGAAGGAAAAATTCTATAATATCTGCCGATGAGGATATCTCGAGAATACGCGTGGGATAAATTTTAAATCAGTCAAGCGTGCACGCATCTCGCGGAAATCTCGAATTTAACTTTCACGAGTTGCCGTGCGATGATCCAACCATGCGATACGCGTTCTTAAGAGGCGCGTGTACACCTTGGGAGGAAAAGTTAATCCAAAGTTCGAAACCAAGAGCCGTGGGGAGGACGCAGATTTTATTACTCGCGCGCTAGGTTAAGAGAGTCCTGGAGAGAAATTCGTGGAAAGGGGAAGGAGGGGGGGGGGTAAGATGTCTTGATGGAATCCTCAAAGGATTTTGCATCGGGTGTTGTGTTTGTCGGAAGTGGAGCATCCGATTATTCCCTTTGCCATTAGACGCGCGAGGAACGTTGAATAGCTTGTTAAACATCCACCCTTTAAATAGAACCTCTTTGAGCGGAACTCGGATGTTCCATTTGCGGTGGTGGACCATCCGGAATAACGGCGGATGGCGCCATTTCGAACGTCCACGGTATGATAAGAATTTCCTTCGTCCGTGATTTCGATCTCGTAACGAAATCTCTATCTAATTAAAGTATTCCCTCCTCTTCAAGTTATTCTTATTCGTCGAAATATGCTCGAAATATTCTTCTTTTCCACTACGTGGAAAGAAAGAAACGTTCCTCGCATCATCCCAATGTGAATTGTTAAAACGAGTTGGAAATGGGGGAAATTTAAAATGATGAAGCGGAGAACGTTTAATCCGATAAAAAAGAAAAAAGTGGAAAATTTTTCCACTTCTCCATACAGAAGAAGAATAAAGAACATTTCGCAATCTTTTCTTTTCGCCCACGAATGATATAATGTCCTCTATCTTTGCTTCTATCGTTACCACACCCCGACGTTGCATTATTACATTACGTAATTACGAGTTGTGCAAGTTGAGCGAAACGAGGTAGCAAAATATATCTATATCTATATCTATACACACACCCACACACACACACACACACACACACACATATATATATATACATAAATAAAAAAAAAAAGAAAGAAGAAGTCGATCGTTATCTATCATAATCCGAGAAAGGGAAAGGAAAGGGAAGAGCGGAATTCTAATTCCGTCCCTAACAAATCCGTGAATCAACCGCATCTTCGTGCCCGCACCCTATAATCGTATCTCGTGCCGGAAACAATGCTCGTACGAAGCTGTCCCCCTGTGTATACGGACAAGGCACTCCCACACGGGGAGCGCACACATTGCACGTCCACCACGATGAAAGAGAGTAGGGCTTAATCAGTTAGTCGATAGGCAAATTGGCTTAGAGGCAGCGACCGACTGGGTGGTTTACAGAACCAGCAAGCCCCGCCAGTGGCCAGTGGCCGAGTGGCGAATCAACCCTTCGCCGATAAGAGTCGCGTCGTGTCCCCGATCCTTGCTAGGGTTTCCTCCACGGCCCGAAATTGCCACCGGTGAATTTCTACGGAGGGAAGCGTGATATCTCTGTTTCTTCCTCGACCGTCTTCCCCCGACGAACGCGAAACAACAATTTTGGCGCACGTAGGACGGCGAGGAAGAGTAGGGACACGAGGGGCAGGTTTCGTAGGAATATTCGTAGATCCCGATCCTCGATGATCCTCGTTCGAGGATCGAGGCGACTGTCGCAGATCGACGTAACGCGCTCCGGCCACCGACTTTGATGGATATTCGAGGGAAGTTGCGGCTGGTGGGCTGATAAGCTGGCCGCGATAAGGAATTCTGGAGTGGTTGACAAAGAGGATCGGACACGGTAGAATGTGCAGCTGATCGGTGAGTCGAATCGATCGTTCGATTCTTCTTGGAAACTTTGCCTCGTTTCCATCGGCGCGCGTATATACTTTGTTTCGTTACACCAGCTACCTCTTTCTCGAATCAATCTTCTCCGAATTTGTGATGATTGGAGAGAGCGTTCAAATCTTTTCAAAGAATCTCTCTTCGATTATAAATATCCTGGCAATTCAGAGCGTGTTGATCGATCTTTTATCGTGGAAAGAATTAGAACTGCGAGGGGAAGTTTAAACAACGTCGACCTAAATACCCTCGTGCGTTGCTGATAAGCCCCCCTCTCCTCCTTCCGTAAAGGAGGTTTCCAACGATGGGAATTCATTTCGAAATCTCGAATGAATATTTTTCGCTTTCGAAATTATCGACCCTTTTCCTCCGTTCATCGTTCATCGACAGCACCTCGTTTTCATCATCGTTACTCTACTTCTGTTCCAGGAATGAAGAGACACTCTCTGGTGATACTATGCTACTACCTGTGCACGCTCTTTGACATGGCGGCCCTACACTTTCCGTGAGTAGGCGAACATGTTCGAAAGTTGTATAGGAAAGCCGCGAATACTCGGGGTGCAGGATACTCGAGATCGACTCATCATCGATCGATCTATCCATCGATGGAAATCTCTCGAGCCTTCTGTTCTCCCATCTACGTTTTCTTTTTTTCTTTTCTTTTTTTTTTCTTTTTTTTTCTTTTCTTTTCTGGAGGACGATACACCGGCCTACTTGCAAAAAGAACGAATGGACGTGCGTATCGTGGAACAATTTCAGCGGAAGGGATCGTCGTTCTTTTCTCTTTTCACCACTGTTTCTTTCTGTTTCGTCTACCAACAATAACCGTTTTGTACGATTTTGTGAATCGATGATAATTTAACGCGATATACGGAAATAATTGTAAAAAATTTCACGACTCGTTTCACTTGAGTTCTTGAGATTCTTATTGAAATAATGACGGGAAAGGGGGGAAAAAAGGGATAGGAAAAGTATGGCGGTAAATTCGTTCTGATTGCAAATTATGGCGAGGATAGAGGCTGCCTCAGCATCATCCGCGACTCTGTCGAGTTTCAGCGAGGAAATATGCGAACCGGTACTTTCCACGGAGGTCGAAGGCTGGCATATTAAAGTCGATAGCCTATCGTCCAGTACGTTTCGACTTTCGGCGAGAAAGCGAGGGTACCGTTTTTTTCCAAGATCGAAAGGTAACGCATCACATGATCATGACATCATCAAACAAATTTCGATCTCTCTCTCTCTCTCTCTCTCTCTCTCTCTTTCTATCTCTCTTTCTATCTCTCTTTCTTTAAATCTTTATCTCTCTAATTCTTTCCTCGAAATATCCCACCTTCTCTTTTTTCTTCTCCGCTCAACAAAACTCTATCTCTTTCTCGTTATTCCAACCGATCTCCGCGAAACTGTTAAATCTCTTCCTGCAAAGAACACACAGCTTTCATTTAAACTAAAATCGCGAATTTCCTTTATTACCATTCTTTTTTTTTTTTTTTATTACCTGCCTCCGTTACTGTTTGCTCGACAAACAGAAATATCGAGCCGACAGGAGGAGTATTGGCCGATCCTATGGCGGGGAGGGGGATACCGCGATCGATCGAGAGGAAATTGAAGATTTCTGAAAAGTCTACGTGGATTATCGGTTTTTACGACGCCACGTATAAAAACGACGCCACGATCCATTTGAATCGCCAATCCACTCGAGTCGTATGCCCGGATAAATAAACGTCGATCTCGCCAACCAACCCTTTATCACCCCACTTATATCGATAATCGATATTATCATCCTTCTTCCGTCCCCCTCTTCGAATAATTTGCATTCTCCTCGAACTAACCGCCAACAACGTTCGCAAGGTGAAATCAGATCGAGAAAATTTAGATGTAAGAGCAAGCTTCAGATGTGACCGAGATCGTCCAGACTTACAAAGAAAAACTCCTCCCCGAAGTTAATCCATTCCTCCTCCCGGATATCAACTCATAAATTAAAGATCCAAGGGGGCAGATCGAGACGAAAGAAGATATTCCGTGAAAAGGGAGGATCGGTGTAAATCGGGCAGAGATGATCGAGAAAGGGTTTGTAAATAATTGCGCGTCGAACGAGGATTTGGAAATTCTCGGGGAAACCGGATTCAGAGGTCGTAGGTTAGCATATTAAAATGTCCGCGTGTAAGGAACACACGTATCTCGGCCGGAGGTGTGCCAAGCACGAAGACCTATTATGGCTTCTGCGATATTGCTGTTTCATCGGAATCGCGCCAATATTTTAGAGTCCGGCACCGTTCGACCACCGTTCGTGGACTTCCCCGATCTCCTCCTCCTCCTCCTCCGATCCATCCACTGTTCCCGATATTTTCGCGGTGAAAAATAACCGCTGGACAATTCATCTGGAGGGTGTGTGTATATTTAATTTATTTCGAGGGTGTCGTAAATCGTGCGAAAATAAAAAGGGGATGCTCGAACCCCCTGACAATTCTTCTTCCTTCGAGACACGACAATCGAGGTGGTTGCAACATTAGTGGGGCGAGTTGTGGGGCGATTGAAAAGATTGCGAGAGAATAATGAAAAATAGGAGGAAGGGAAAATTTTAGGAAGAGGGATGAAAATAAATATTAAATGTTTATCTTTAGGAACGTGTGGAATGTATCGGTGTAATATTCGTCTGGAAAATACGCTGTGTAATTCAACTCTGGATTAATATTTGAGTTCCCCTCCCCTTCCCTCCCTCCCTCCTTCCTTCCTTCTTTCCCTCCTCCTTCCTCCCCCTCTTTTTTTCCCTTTTCTGATAAAAATATTTTACACGATTTCAAAATATATATATATATATTTTTTTTTATATTTTATTTCAAATGCGGTCTTTACCGGTATTCAGTAGTTCTATTTGTCAGACAACGTTCGTCAGAATAATTTATTTAGGCTCGATATAACGAAATAGGGGAGGGGATACACGATTTTAGAAGGGATCAAAGAGGGGCGAGTTTCGGTGCACATTTTTTTTTTTCGCGCACATTTACACGCAATTACCATATTCTATACATAAAGAAGTAGTTAATACGTACGGTTACGAAATAATGCAGAGGAAAAATTTAAACGCGAGCGAGCATGGGGAAATGTCGAGGTCGGTGAAAAACGGTTACGTGTTGCCTCGATTAGCATATTCTATAAATATACAAATAGACGAGTTGTTCTTTCTCGTCGCGTTGAAACTCAAGAAGAGGCGGGCAGACGTTGTTCGGAAATCAATACCAAAGTCTCTTAGTTAACGATCAGAGATGAAAGATAATAACGTAATGAAATTAAACTGGAGATAGACGCATTCGCTATCGCTATCGTAATCGTGGAAGAGAGAAGAAGAAGAAGAAGAAGAAAAATCACAGGCGAAGAGAAACGATCGAATTTACTAGTAAAACAATTAATAAAATTGAACGAAAGGACACGATCGAGAATCGTGAAAGATCCAATTAAGAAAATTACCTTACAAATAGATCCGAATTTTATAAAAATCGTTAACCCAACATATACATCTCGATCATCGAGAGAAGAGAAAAATTAGAGCGCGAGAAAAGGAAAAACTTTACACAATCATTTTCACAATCTTATAAATCTTGTGCCATCCCCGCGAACATAATGGCGAACACAATGGTTACCTCGCGCGAGAAATTAATCTCCGTCCTCAGCCTCGCTTCTCCTCGCTTCTCTGCCTTTTTTCCAGGGAGTCGGATCTCGAGTACGGGAGAAAGGAGTCCTCCCTGTCGCTCAAGGACATCCTCCCTTTGAACCCGAAGCTGTACGACAAGCACAGGGCGCCCAAGTTCCTGGGCCAGCCTACCATCGTCTACTTCCACGTGACGGTGCTCAGCATCGACTCCATAAACGAGGAATCTATGGTAATTCGGCCGGGTCGTGCTTTCGTTTAATTAACAGGCGCGTTGCACGCCTCGAGCAGAGCCGAGCGAGGTGAATGGGGACGAGTGGAGAGAGGGGTTCGGTTGAAGAGACAACCCGACAACACGGTTGGCTGCGACGTTTCACACCTTTCGAAAGGAATCTCGCGGTTCCAACGCGGAGCAAAGTCGTTTTCGTTCTTCTTTTTCCTCTCATTTTCAGCGGCAACGCGTGTGCAAATTGGGCCAACGAGGCGTGCACGGGTTGCTCGGTGTGTTTTATTTAAACCCCTCGGATGCGAAACGTTTGAGAGATTAGTTGGAACGAGACGATGAACGAGGGTCGAGGATAAGACGCGATGATGGCCCGCGCTTATTGAATTAAAATCGATTTATAACCGGCCGGCTTTTTCACACCCGATTCAAATTAAATTATTCCCGTTTTCGTGCGCCGCGCCTGATCATTTCCTATTGCGAATCTTTCACAGAGCAAGTAAATTCGTGATAATCGAAACTGTAATATAATAATTTCATTAATAACCGATTAATTAAGCGTTCATATGAATACGTACTCTCTTTGAAATGCATGAAATGTATAATAACGAATCGAATAAACTAATCCTTCCTTAAAAAAAAAAAAGAAAGGGAGAGTCAAGCTATTTTCTATATAATTCTAGAAAAGTTATCTCCCCCTCAAAGGGTGAATATTTTCGTGGAATTCAATTGCCATCTCGAAAGCATTTTCGAAAAATAAATGAAAATAAATCGGATCGATGATGTTCTTATTTATTGCACTTGCAGACGTACGTTGCGGACATATTTCTGGCGCAAAGTTGGCGGGATTCTAGACTACGACTTCCGGAGAACATGTCCGAGGATTACAGAATATTGGACGTAGACTGGCTGCACAATATCTGGAGGCCTGATTGCTTCTTCAAGAACGCGAAGAAGGTCACCTTCCACGAGATGTCGATACCGAATCATTATCTTTGGTTGTATCACGACAAAACCTTGCTTTACATGTCGAAGTAAGCTCGATCTTCGACACTTCCACTTTTTTGCGATTAATCTTCTTATCCGTTTAATATCGACGTATGTTCTCGTTTCTCTCCAGATTGACGCTCGTCCTCTCCTGCGCGATGAAGTTCGAGTCCTATCCCCACGATACTCAAATTTGCTCAATGATGATCGAAAGTTGTACGTATTATTACTTTTTGTATCAATCTTACAAAGAAATTTTCGCTTTAATTAATTTAAACACCGATCTCACTTTCTCCACTTAATAAAACAATTGCTTGAATAATCTATATATTCGCAATGTTGCAAAACAAAATTATTGCTGACTTTGATATTATAATTTATCAACCGAACTCGCATCAACTCAAGATCTGTTTTAACTTACTGTGCATTGCAACAATCTACTCGCACATATTAATCGAACGTTAAATTATTAACCTAGAACTCCTGCCCTTCAGCCAAACAGATCTTCCTCTTCCCCAATTCCAAATTCTCCAAATCTAAACAACTCCGAAACTTTCGTTATTCCAGTCGAATAATCTTGTTACAACATTCCCAAAGTTTCCACCTTGATCGATAGAATGAAAAAAAAAAAAAAAATACGATCACTTTTCAGTGTCGCACACCACCCAGGATCTGGTGTTCATATGGAACATGACCGACCCCCTGGTGGTGAACCCAGAGATCGAGCTACCCCAGCTGGACATCTCCAACAATTACACGACCGACTGCACGATCGAATACTCGACAGGGAACTTCACCTGCATCCAGATCGTGTTCAATCTTCGACGCAGGCTTGGCTATCACCTGTTCCACACGTACATACCGTCCGCGCTGATCGTGGTCATGTCCTGGATCGCGTTCTGGATCAAACCTGAGGCGATCCCGGCCCGGGTCACCCTCGGTGTGACGTCACTGCTGACCCTCGGTAAGGTCGTCGCGCCTGCGATCTCGTTCCCCGACCGCGGATCGACCGAATTTCCAAACTTCCTCTCGATCCGATCGATCGAGTCGAGAGGATCGTGGAAGTGTTCCAACACGCGTCCAATTTCGATTTCAGAACCGAGTAATCGAATACTGGACAATTAAATTTCGAATTTTATCGAATTATTATTCTGCTCGTTCGATGAGATGGATATATCTATGGATTCGTGGATTTTCAAGTGTCGTTGAGTAGCTTGAACTCGTCGACGATTGATCGAAGAATACGTATATAAAGAATTCGAATCTAGATACTCGAGTATCTTCGAACGCATCGAATTTGATATTCCATCTGGATATCAGTTCAGAGCAACAGGTAGAGTGCTGATAGAAATTGTTCTCGGGATTTTCTAGATCTTGCATTCTTTTCCTACATTTCCCTTCTTCTTTCTTCCCTTCCTCTTCTTTTTTTTTTTTTTTGTTTTATCTTTCCTCTCGTTTTAACTCGTAACGAAAGTAACGAGCCGCGGTTTCAAATCGAGGTTGGATCGAGGTTTTCCTTCCGCTTCTTTCAAAAATCCGCTTTCGAGTTGAAACGAATCGCGGAGCAAGAAGAGAAGGTTTTTTTTTTTTTGAAACGCAACGCCCGAAATAACGAGGCGTCTTTAAATCGTGGAATTAAAATTCGCCACGTCTCTGCTCAATTTACGATCGTCAAATGCGCGTCGAATCGTTGAAAGACGCGTATATATACAATGTTTACATGATACTTTCACTTGTGTGCGACGAAATACCGTAAATCAAACGAGAAATATTTATTAATTGTTCGATTTACAGCGACTCAGAACACGCAGTCTCAGCAATCACTGCCGCCCGTCTCCTACGTGAAGGCCATCGACGTGTGGATGTCCTCGTGCAGCGTGTTCGTGTTCCTCTCGCTCATGGAATTCGCCGTGGTGAACAATTACATGGGACCGGTTGCCACCAAGGCGATGAAGGGCTACTCGGACGAGGATCTGAGAGAGGCCATCGACGAGTTCAAAGTACGAATCGTTTACTTCTCCAAAACCAAATTCATCCAATCCGTTAACCATCTCAAATAGCTTTCTCTACCTTTTTTTTTTATCATTTTTTTGGCAAAATTAATCGCAACAATATTCCGGTTCCTTGTTCAAAAAGTACGACAACCAGTTTGTACACGTCGATCGTAAAAAAAAAAAGAAAAAAAAAAAAAACCAATATCCAAATTAAGCAGGAACGCGTGTTAAAAATATCCTGTGTTTCGTACTCGTGGAAGGTTGTAAATTCGCGTTGTCGTTAATTACCGCGGAAATGTCGAACGGGGAAATGGCACAAATGATCCCCGGCGAGGAAGAGGGGAAAATTCGCGGAAAAACCGGGGAAAAAAATAGAGGACAGGGGAGGAGCGAGGCTGGTCCGCGCGAGGTAATTCATGCGGCAGCGCGTTCTCGTTTCTCATTTACCCAAAGAATTATGCATCTCGAACTTACAATTAGTAAGGGTTAAGCGTTCCTGAACCTGACTCGAGGAGGGTAATAATAAATAACCGAGTGGTAGGAGCAAAAATTGATGGTGCAGAGTTTCCTCTCCGCTCTGGAAAACGTGAACGAGGAGAACGAACGAAATTACGGGGAAGAAAAGATGAAACGGGGGGGGGGGGAGAACTTTCCTTCCTTCCTTCTTTTCTTTTTTTTTTTTTTTATTTCTTTTATTCAAAGTTTCTTTTATTCGAAGATCGAGATCGTTTGATTCGCGAAAGATAAATAAAAAGATAACGAAACGAAGCGAGGGTGGAGAGAAAAGGCACACCCGATATATTCGCGTGACATTCTGGTAACACCTGACACACTTAGAAATTCAGCGGGCCGAAAGTGTCGCGACTTTAATTAACGCGCTGGTTCCACGAAAGTCTGCCAACTTTCCGCGGTGTGCAGAAACTTGGTAAATTAAAAATAAAAGATGAGGATGATGGAAAATTGATAGACACGATATTTTTTATGGTGGATAATTTAAAAAAAAAAAAGAAAAAGCATCGTCGATACGTCGCGCGAAAGAGAAGAAAATTCGTATATTTCCTCTTATTTATAACCGGTCTTTGCTCTTGGAAAATTTTATTGTAATAATACAGAATGGGTGTTTGCATTCGACTCGTGTTGGTTTATGCGTATTTATATAATATTAAATGATATTATGAAATAATAATAATAACACGAGGCTAATTTCAATTTGAATTTTGTGATTCTTCCGATGTTAATGTACAACGAATGAATAATTAATACGATATAACAAACGGTCTCTGTTTCATACTTATTTGTAACGATTTATGACAAATTTACGTTTTATTTTAAATGTTCCCTGTATTGAGAATTGAGAAGGACAATCGTATATCGACGATGACTTTTTTTTTTTAATTTTTATTAAAACGAGATATCCATCTGCGACAATAATAAACGATTTTTCACAAGGGGAGAATAATAATTTTAATTTAAAATTTTCCGCGGATTTTCAAGAAACTCTTCTCTTCTCGAAGAAGAGAATCGATCGATTCAATGAAAATTAATTAATTCTTGTTTCGAATTTTTCGCGTGGAATAAAGCGTCACCGTCCGTTTTCTAAATTACTACATTTATTCGCTAATATCGAGAAAATACACGATCGTTCGAAATTGATAATGGGCGCGCATACACCATTGTTTAATCAACGTGTACTATCGCCAACTATCGTGAATTTTTCATGGAGCTGGCCTCTGAATTTTTTATGCTTCCGTGTGTACGCGCGTAACTCCACCCTCGAAAAGCGCGCAAACGTTAGCTTTCACGGTCCACGAATCGTGATCGTGTCGATTTTTCTCTTTCAACTCCACGGACGAGATCGCGTAGCTTTTTAGAGAATTTGCAAGGCGACTCGTCGTCCCTTTGCACGGAAGAAAACATGGTTTCGTTTCATGAAATTAAACGTCAATTACGTTGAACGCGGAGAAAGGTACGGTTTTGAAACGGATTCGAAAAGGATTCGAAAAGGGAATGCAGGTTGAATTTTAAATTATTATTACTTTCGAAGCAAGGGGGACTAAGTTTATCGAACTTTGCTGAAAGTATCTGACAAACGGTGACCCAATTATCGCGATCGTTCGTTCGTTTCACAGATCGCGCAAAATTTTTATATCGGTGAAACGAAACAAAATATTGTTACAGAGCAGTTCTTCGTGTCTCTTCGAAGTGAAAATAAGTTTTACGTTTTCTTTCGAGACGGTTTAACAAAAAAAAAAAAGAGAAAGGAAAGAGGAAAGGTAATCGCTCGTCCCGCGTGAAAACGGCGAAAAAGATGCGTTTTCCATTTGCGAGGCAGAGGGACAAACATTATCTCGAGGCGAAATTAGCTCGTCCCGGGTAAGAGTAAAGTGAGAAGTTTTCAAAACTCTCGCTCGGCCAACAACTTGACGTAAACTTCGTCCAAACGAAATGGATCTTTCGATCTGTCTTTCTCTTTCCACGCTTTCTCCAATCTCGTCGATTTCGAAATTATAACACGATCAAACCGTTTAGATAGATCCTCGACGAGACTAAAAAAAAAAAAAAGAAAGAAAAAATTAGAAGTATAAAATCACCAAAATATAAAATTTAAATCGATTATTATTATTTTATCTTAAAGAGAAACACACGTGGCGTTGTGAACGAAGAACGAATTGTCAGAAACGCTTCTAAATTGCAAAATGAACCTCCGGGGGAAAAATGTTACGCGGCGTATAAACGCAGAAGGGAAGTTTCCATTTGTGGAAAGTGCCGAGAAAGAAAGATTGTCTCTCGTGCCTTGAATAAGAAGACGCGAATTAATTTAAATTTCATTCGAGCCACCCCTGAGATGTTTTGGTGGAAATTCGAAACGCTTTTACCGCCAACTTAATAATTTATTGTATCCAATTGACCACGCTGCTGTAATTGCGTTATTTCCAACTCCGTTATGCGCGTTCCGACTCGTTCTTATTTTTCACGCTAGAATATTTATTCGCGTCTCTCTCCTTGGCCTGCATCGATCCCGAAAAAAATTCATCGTTTCCTCCAAATTCACCGCCATTCTTCCGTCCGTTCGAGTCGAAAATTATCGTAATCGAAGGTTTACATTCATTTCACTGTTTCGCAATTGTGAATTCTCTCGACAGACACCGATGAGGAACGATTCGGAGAGGAACAGAAGCCCGGTGAGGCCGGCGACCGTTCAATACGACACCTGCTGCCAGGGTCGAGCGACTGCGATTTACATCGACAAGGTGTCCAGATTCTTCTTCCCCTTCTCCTTCCTCATCTTGAACGTCGTCTACTGGAGCACCTTCCTGTAGAGAGGATCGAGGATCGAGGAAGAAACGACGAAGGAAGAGGAGGAGGATCGTTTCAAACGGTGTTTTCTTTTCGTTCGAAATAATCTTTGTTAATCCTCGATGATTAAAATTGATCGTCGCAACGAAAATCGTAGAGCATTCCCTCTTTGAAAATAAGATCGAGAAAGATTAGGTTTCATCGAGCCGTTAACAAAGAATTATCGAACGAAACGGGCGGGAATCCGCTAGAAGAATTTCCAGCACCTTTTATATACAATTATATAGAGAAACACGCAACCGTCTAACGAACGGTTAATTAATCGTAAGAGCATGTTAGCTGTTAAGATTCGCGTTTAAGATTACTTTAAGTGATATAATTCGAATTGAACGATCGTGTACTCACCCCTCTTCGACGTGAATCGTACTCTTTGTCATCGTTGAACGCGAATTTCCGCTCGTTCGTCGCGATTCAATTTACCCTTTACTTACTTACCCGAGTCTTGTCTCCTCGAGTTTTGCTACGATAGATACATAAATACGTACGTACATACATGCATGCATACATACATACATACATACATACCTTTCACTGAACGTTCACGCGCGCTCAGCCAAGCTCGTTTCTCGTCGTCGATTTAAGGGTTATATAAATAATTTATCCAAATCACGAGACGATGGGGGAAAAGAGAAATAAAACAAAACGCGGGACGATTCGAATCTCTTTTCACGCGAGAAGTGAAAAGAAAAAAAAGGCGGAGGTCGCCTTTGCTAAAATGGAACGATTGGAAATTGATAAGACGCGATTTATAAATTTTTATAGGCTTGCCGCATGCGAAATCCGTTTCGAAATCTTAGGTAAGGTTGTTTTTACAAAACGAAAAAAAAAAAGAAAAAAAAAGAAAAAAGAAACGGCCGCTCGCGTGAACGTTCGAATCGCGATTACGGAACAACAATTTTACCCGTTGTGCGCGTAAGAATTTAAAAGACAAATAAACGGAGTATAAACACGTAAAGGGATGGAGAGAGAGAGAGAGAGAGGATCGTTTTCCCTCCCCCTGCTGCGTGATAAACTGCAAGGAAGGGTCGGCCCGGAATGGGGAGGAATGAGAAAGACGACGACCAGCTTTACGAGGCAGCTTATTTATTCTTTCAGCAGCCGATAGAGAGCTTTTTATATTATACGGGTATTCAAACAGTTGCCCCTCCGCCGTTCCTTCTTCCTTCTGCCTTCTGTCCTCTTCTTACCCTCGCCTCGGATCCTGCTGCTGTCTCCTCGTGCGTCCGAGAAAGATCGTCGACCTAGAGTCTCTAAATTCTTGGACAAACTTTAACTTAATCCATATTTTAATCAAATCGGTGTATTAAAAAAAAAGAAGAAGAAGAAAAGAAAAATTCTTAAAACTGTTTGTCGATCGAAGGATAAAAATATTTCTCGGTATCTGCCGTGTAAAAAAAAAATTCTTTTAACCAGATTATTAAAGATACACATGTCGAGCAAATACCTGAAATTCTCTGAAATCGAGAAAGTAAACTTTGCGGCGAACCGCTCCATTTCGAGCCATCCTTGCACGGGTCGACGATGTGCGACGAGGACGTCGACAATCAGGATTAAAAAGAAAAGACGTTGGTTTCGTTTTCGGAGAAAAGAAAATTTTTCTCGGAAAGAAAAGAAAAACGATCGAAACGTTTCCACTAACGAGGCCACTAGCATACACGAGGAGAAAGGGATCTCGCGCGAGGTGTCTCACGGTGTGAAGGAGTTTTCGTAGAGAAAACTTGGAGGTGACGATAAAGGACCAACGTCATTTCCCTTATACAGGCGACCCCTTTTGGATTACGGTACTTTTAGCAGTGACGAGAATCTCGCCAGTAAACGACCAGCAGTAATTAATTGGAACGAACATACGGCCTGGCTCCGGTTGCTCGCCGAGAATAATTAAATCCGCACGTAAGGTGGCGTAATTGTGACGCGACCGAATGCCTCCCTCCCTCTCTCTCTCTCTCTTTCTCTCGTTCTCTCTCTCGCGAGACGGAACACACCGCCTCCAAAAGATGTTCCTACTTTTTTTTTCCTCCGCTGCCGCTTAATTAAAACAACGCGTCGTCGACTCTTTTCGCCTCCCTCTTTCTCCCTTCCGTACGATATCTCTTGGTGACGCTTTAATAATAATTCCAAACAAAGGTTCCTTTTTTTTTTTTTTTTTTCTAATACATTTTTAAACGGCCAAATCGTGCCCACGTTCATTCTCGATCTTTATATAATAATCGATCGAGTTAGTCCAAGTCTAGTCCAACTTTTTTAATATTCTTCATCGATAAGAATAATTAATAACGATCGTAATACAAGTAATGCGTGTATAGAATTTTCTCCAAGAAACACTAGAGACGAAGATAGAATCCGTATCGAATCTCTTTTCTCCCTTCGAGAAAGAAACGCGTTGGTTAAAACGCGTTGGCGTCAATGTTCTCGCGCCTCTAAATACGGTGGAGGATCGGAAAGATTGAAACGGTGAAAAGATTCGTTTGACTGTTTTTTCAGCTAACACGCGCCGCCACTTGAGGTTATTTCATCTTGAAAACGTCGCTTTGTAGGCCGATCTAACCGTCCCTCTCTCCGTCTCTCTCTCTCTCTCTCCTTCTCCGGATCTTCACCTCTGTCCATCCTTGTCATCCGCGTCTCCAGCCATCCGATCCGGCTCGTTTTTATTTCGAGACAGAGACAGGGAGGGTGAGAGAGAGAGGAAGGGGGGGAAAAAACGAAAAGAATCGACGCGATGAAAGAGCTCGAAACGACTGCGACAATGCCGCGAGCACGCGTTTGCGCGTGTGTATGTGTAAAAAAAAAAAAAAAGAGTGTTCCGTTCCACGAGGAGGAGAGAGTTTTTAATCATGCCATTTTATCCTGAGAGAGCCTTTGTACCCGGGAGGATAGAAAGATACTTTCATCTGCCCCGCACTCCGGCTTCTTCATCCCCCTCTGTTTACGAGTCGATCTCTCGTTCCCACGATTTAACACCCTCCCCTCACGGATTCACCCCTTAATCCCTTCCGATGGCCCGTGTCACGCGATTCCTCCTTTTCTCTTCTAACCTCTCCTTCCTTTATCTCTTCCTTTCCTTAATTTTCTTTCTCGCGCGAATATTTTCCGTCGATTCGACTTCCAATTCATGGAAAAATCCATTCGAATTCGTTGCTTCTTCCCTTTCTCAATTCTATTCCCTTTTCTTTTTCTTCGTTTTTAATCTAATTTCGGTATCGTTTATGGGTGCCAAAGAGGAATGAAAATATCTTTGAGACGGCGAAAGTTATTTCGATCTTCAACTTAATCTTTCGATAATCAAATAACGAAAGCCTTCGCTCTTGGCCTTTTCTAAATTCTTTGCAATCCTATTAAAAATATCTCTCCCCTATCTCTTTCGTTCTAATCCTCGCCCATTCTCCTCCTCCTCCTCCTCCTCCCTCCCCCTCTCAATCCCGATCGCTGATTGCCTCTTTAAAGAAAGAGAAAAAAGAAAGAGTTAATAAGGACGGTAGAGGCGGGCAATTATGAAGTCCGTGAGAGAAATTGATCGTAGATCGATCGAGATTTAACGGCATCGAGGACAGAGGGTGGCCCATCTTTAACAAGATCCCTTCGTTTGCGTAATTAACTATCGACTTTCCGTCGACAATCTTGTTAACGAGAAGCGCGCCGATCGTTAATGGATTCCGGGGGAGTGGAGGCGGGCGTGCAACCAGAGACAGTGAAATAATTACTCTTTGCTTTCCTTGGAATAATTCGAGCGTCCCACGTCGAAAAATATGAATAACGGATTCGAAATCGAACCGACGAAATCCAACCGCTCCTTTCCACCCGCTCTCCGAGGGAGAGAAGCTCGCCCGTCCCTGTCAGAAATAACATCCGGGAGAGGAACCGTCTCAATTAAAATCCATGCTCCACGAGGACGAGGTAAGGAAAAGGACGCTCTATTATCAACGAAGCCGCGTCGAGGGAAATTTCGACCGGTTTCCTTAAAAATATGATATTCGACACGGTAACCCAGATCCAGATCTCGCCAGATCCAGAATACAGAAACCGTGTTCCGTATGAATAGTTTCGACGGAATTAGCGAACAAACGGTCCACCGAGTTACGACCTGAATTTATTTAAAAGGAAAGAGAGAACGCCCGATCATCAATCCCCCTTTGAAACGGGGAGGGGATGCTTGCCCCGCGTTGAAATTTTCCAGTAAATCTCCAACGCGAGATCTATCCATCCATCCATCTATCCATCCGTCCATCCTACCTTCGATCGGGGTAGGGAAGGTTGTATAGGAAATCAGCGCTGGTTTCTGCCATCGTTCACTTTCCAATTTAAGCCTCGGCCCGATATATCGACACGTCGTCCTTGACCGATGTTCCGGAAATAAAGCGACCCAACAACCCGTGATTCGTGGTTGGCGGAAAAGTGGTGTGCGATCCGCCGGATAAAAATCGAAAACAGTCATAAATAGACCGAGATATATATATATATAAAAAAATACGCGGCAAACATCGTGTCAACTCAACTTTTCGAGTCGTGCGGCTAACGAGCACGTCCTGCTCGCGCAAATACGAATCAATTTCCGGCGTGGACGCGCCACCGTCACTGCCTTTGCGGCTGTCGTTCGGCAAACATCAATTAATTCCGTGTTTTCTTTTCGAAGCATTCGTTTAGCGGGGTTCGAAACGAATTCGACGGGACTGTTATATATGCGATCCCGACGAATCGACGCACGATCGTGGAAAGTTCAACGACACCTTTGACACGGTTGGATTGATCGGTTGGAGGTTAAGTTCAGGCTGGAGTGGAGTGGTTGGAGTGATTTAAAATGCCGTGTTAAAAAAAAGAAAAACGTTGGAAAATTTTGGACACATTTTTCTTCCTTTTTCTTTCTTTTTTTTTTTTTTTTTCACTCGTCAAGGGTACAAAGTAGAGACGAGAATAATGAAATTCTTCGATGATATCTCGCTTGATAAATGAAAGAAGGATCGTAGAACGTGTTAAATAATGAATTTCAATTTTATTTTTTTTTTCTTTTTTTTTTTTTTTTCTTTTTCACTTTTTTGAGAGTAAGGCGTGGAAGCTACCGAAGACGGACAACACCATCGGCTAAAACGTCTTCACCCCTTTTCTAGTTACAACTATCGGGTGTACTTGTTACAACGTGCTGGCGCTTGACCGCTGTCGATAATTCTTCTTTCCAACTACCTTTTCCAACTTTTCTTTCTTACACTCCTCTCCGTCCACTTATTATAATATACGTACGTATATTTATTTATTTATTTATTCATTCATTTATTTATTTATTTATTTATTTATTTATTTATATATATATAGATTTTTTCTCTCCTTGTTTTTTTTTTTAATTCGTCTCCGTTCTCTCCGTTCTCTTCACTCCTTTGCTTCTCTCTCTCTTATATATATTTTTTTTTTTTTTTTTTTTACAGTTGTACGATTAAAAATATCGTTATTGCCAAGTATGATCGATAACACGGTGCGTAACCCCGAGCCTCTGACCGGAGAGACAATATCCCTCGCTTATCAAACTAAAATGCATCGGAAACTAGACATACTATAGCAATATACAATTCGACGAACATCTTATTACGTATTACGTATTTCTTCTTCCTCTTCGAGTTTCATCCTTGTAATTCTTATTTTTCCTTTTTTCTTTTCTTTTTTATTTTTTTCTTCTTTTGATATCTCTTTACACGGGGCTACAGCCAAGGCGATCGCTTTCCTTTCGAACTTGCCGCCAATTTGTTTCTCGTCGCGCGCGAAAAATTGGAAAATTTCAAGGAGACGCTCGAGAGATTTTGACGATCGTTTCAAAGATTAATTAAAATTCGTACGAGAGTTA